GATCTGCGTGACCTGCGCTGACCTGCGCAGGTGACATCTCTGGTTGAATGCGGACACCCTTGATGATGATGATGATGGTTATCGCGATGGCGGTGGTGATGGCGGTGGTGATGATGATGCTGATGATGCTGCTGATGATGGCGACGATGTTGATGCCGATGATGACGATGATGATGACGATGGCGATGATGAGGATTACGATGATGGTGCTGGTGATGAGGATGGCGATGATGGTGTCAATGCTGATGATGATGATGATGTGGATGCTTCTGACGATGGTGATGGTTACGAAGATGCAGATGGTGATGGTAATGATGATGCACATGCTGATCACGGTGATAGTGTTGATGATGAGAACGAGGATGAGGATGATGCTGCTGGTAATGGCACTGATGATGATAACGCTGGTGATTATGACGGCGACGACGATGATGCTGATTGTTAGACTGATGATGATGCTGGTGATCATGCCGATGCTGGTGGTGATGATGATGGTGATTGATCACGATGATGGTGACGATGTCGGCGCCGACGAGAACGATGATGCTGTTAATGAAGACGGTAATGATGGTGATGATACTGATGATGCTGCTGATGATGATGATGATGATCATGGTGGTGATGGTGGGTGGTGGTGGTGATGATGATGATGGTGGTGGTGATGGTGGCGCTGATGATGACGATGGCGACGACGATGACCATGATGTCTATAACGACGACGATGATGCTGCTGATGATGCTGATGCTGATGCTGATACTGATGCTGATGATGGTGAGGATGCTGGTAATGTTGGTGAGTCTGATGATCATGATGTTGCTGATGATGATTCTGATGATGCTGATGCTGATGCTGATGCTGATGATGATGCTGCTGATGATGATGCTGTCTATGACGATGCTGCTGATGATGGTGGCGATGATGATGATGGCAACGATGCTGCTGATGATGCTGCTCATGATGGTGATGATGCTGGTGCTGACGCCGATGATGATGCTCATGATGATGACGATGTTGATGCTGGTGATGGCGACGACGACAACTATGATGGCTAGGATGGAGATGATGATGCGGATGCTGCTGATGATGCTGATGCTGATGATGCTGATGATGCTGCTGATGATGATGACGATGATGATGATGTTGATGAGCATGCTGACGATGGTGGCGATGAGGATGCCGAGGATTAGGCCGGTGAGAATGACACTGGTGATGGAGATGGCACTACGACGATGTTGACGCTGCCGATGGTGCCTATGGTGATGATGCTGCTGATAATGCTGCTGATGATGGCGACGCGGATGTGGAGGATGGTGGTGGTGATGATGATGATGATGATGATGATGATGATGCTGATGCTGATGATGACGATGATGGATGATGATGATGCTGATGACGAAGCTGTTGCTGCTGCTGATGATGATGCTAATACTGGTGCTGGTGCTGATGCTGATGGTAATACTGTTGATGGTGGTGATGATGACGATAATGCTGATGATGATGCTGCGGATGATGATGATGATGATGATGATGAGGATGATGATGATGCTGATGATGATGGTGGTGGTGATGATGATGATGCTGCTGCTGATGATGATGATGGCGATGATGATGATGATGATGCTGATGATGATGATGATGATGATGATGATGAAGATGAAGATGATGATGATGATGATGATGATGATGATGATGATGATGATGATGATGATGATGATGATGATGATGATGACGATGACGATGACGATGACGATGATGCTGATGCGGATGCTGATGCTGATGCTGATGCTGTTGTTGATGATGCTGATGAGGATGATGATGATGATGATGCTGCTGATGATGATGATGATGATGATGATGATGATGATGATGATGATGATGATGATGATGATGTTGATGGCGACGCTGTTGATGATAATGACGCTGCTGATGCTGATGCTGATGATGATGGTACTGATTGTGCCGAGGCATGAGGTGCTCCTCGTCGCTCCCTTCTCCGCCTCTGCGTCCTCCTCTGTAGTCTGCTGCTGCTCCTCCCTCTACTCCTCGTCCTCACCTCTTCCTCCTCTTTGTCCTCCTCGTCCTCCTTCGCATTCGCTGCTTCCTCCTCCTCCTCCTCCTCTCCCTGCTCATCCTTGCCCCCCTCTCGTCGCCTCGTACTCGCCCCCTCCACACTTACACATTGCGAGTAATACCCTCCTCTCTCCCCGGACCCTGTCTGGAAAACGACCCGCCCTCTCCGCGCATGTTTCTTTGCACGCAGGTTTGGACACGCATGGCTGTTCTGAGTACCATCTGATCTTTTTCGTTTTTCGAAACGGTGCTCCCGCGGAAGCGTGGGCATCCTTTTCGGATCGGCGCTCGGCGCTCTGCTCCCGTCGTTCAGGACGGGGCTCTCTCCCCAGCGTGGGCAACTCTTCTGGATCCGAACCCTTCCTCATCGTTGTCGCCCACCTTCTCCTCCTCCCTCTTCGTCCCTCCTCCTTCTCCTTCCCCTCCTTCCCCCTCCTCCTCCTCCTTCCCCTCCTTCCCCTCCTCCTTCTCCTTCCTTCCCCTCGTTGTTGTCCACCTCCTTCCCCCCCCCCCATCCGCCTTTCCCTGCTCCTCCCGCCGCTCCTGCTCCTTCCACGCCAGTTCTCGCTGCTGCTGCTCGTCCCCTGATGGGCCTGCTTTCCACCACCACCACCACAGTTGGAGGGAGGAAAGGAGGAGGAGGAGGAGGAGGAGGAGGAGGAGGAGGAGGAGGAGGAGGAGGATCCCCTCCCCCTCCTACTTATGGTGGCGGCGGCGGAAAACAAGCCCACCATCCTCGTCCTCTTCCTTCTTCCTCATCCCCTCTCTTCTCCTCCTGCTCAGCTCCTCCGCCTTCCCCTGGCCCTGCTGCTCCTCCCGCTCCTTCCACTCCGGTTCCCGCTGCTGTCGTCGTCGTCGTCCCCCTCCTCATCCTCCTCCTCCTCCTCCTTCCTCGTCCTCCCTCTTTTCCTCCTGCTCATCCTCCTGATCACCCGCCACCTCATCCTCCTATGCGCGCAGCCCCCCCCATTCCCCTCCTCCTCCTTCTCCTCCTTCTCCTCCTTCTCCTCCTCCTCCTCCTTCCTCGTCCTCCCTCTTTTCCTCCTTCTCATCCTCCTGATCACCCGCCACCTCATCCTCCTATGCGCGCAGCCACCCCCCCATTCCCCGATTGCGCATGACGCGATGGGATATGTCCTGGAGTTCCAGGTCGGCTACGACACGCGTCCGCGGGTGGAGAAACACTACCGAACTGGGAAGGGATGGATGGGAGGGACAGGACGTCAGTTGTGTCGCGAGCGCGCCTAGCTTGCCGCCCTCCCATCCCTCTCCCTTCGCCCCCTCCCCGCCGCCCTCCCCGCCCCTCCTCGCTCCTTTCGCTCCGCCTCCTCGTCGCTCCCATTCGCTGTGCCTCCCCATCACTCCCTCCGCCTCCTCATCCTCCCCTGTATTCTCCTGCTGCTCCTCCTCGCCCTCGCCACCTCCCCCGCCTTGCTTCCTTCTCTTTCTCCTCCTCTTCCTCCTCCTCCTCCTCCTCCTCCTCCTCCTCCTCCTCCTCCTCCTCCTCCTCCTCCTCCTCCTCCTCCTCCCCCTCCTCGCCCCCTCTCCTCGCCCCCTCTCCTCGCCCCCTCTCCCCGGCCCCCCGCACTCTCCGCGCCCCCCCTGTCCTCGCTCTCTCCCCTGCGGCCCCCGCGCGTCGCGACGACAGCCGCCGACGCCCGCAGCCGCCTTGGCGCACGAGCCCCGCGGCCCCCGCCATGGCCGCGCCACGGGCGCGGCTGGCGGCCGGGCCAGTCAGGTTACGGGGTTGAGCGGTGTCAGGGACAACGTTTCTCTGGATGGGGTGTTTGTCATCCCCCTCTCCTCCCCCGCTTCCTCCCTCCCTTCCTCCTCCTCCCCCTCCGTCCTCTTCCTCCTCCCTCCCCCTCCCCCTCCCTCCCTCCTCCCCTCCTCCCTCCCCTCCCTCCCTCCCTCCCTCCCTCCCTCTTGCCCATCCCCCTCCTCCCGATCGAAAGGGGGAGGGGGGGGGGGCGGCGATTCTTCGCCCATCCAGAGTAGGGGGAGACCAGCTCAGGTCGGCCACGCGCAGAGGTGGGTAGGGGGAGGGGGGAAGGCTTCTTAGAAGCACCCCTGCTTCTTAGAAGGAGCTGGCCTTCTTTCTCTATAGACGTGGGGCCATAGCCTTCTAAGAAGCAGGGTGCTTCTATGAAGCCTTCCCCCCTCCCCCTACCCCCCTCTGCGCGCCGCCACTCAGGGGGGAAACAGAGATCCCGACTAGGCGATGCGTCGCCGATGGCTCGGCGATGGGCCCCCGCTGTCCAAT